GTAGTCACAAATTTAACTGTTCCGACCTTCATGTCTGCCTTTCGAAGATTCGCAAGCCGCAAGTCCTTACCAAAAATTATGGTGTCAGACAATGCATCAACGTACCAATCTGCCGCGGAAGAGTTGACCCTACTATTCAATTCAACAGAGTTGGAAACCAATCTCAGTAAACGAGGAATCCAGTGGAAATTTATCCCAAAACGAGCACCATGGTACGGTGGTTTCTGGGAAAGATTAATTGGTCTGACAAAAAACTCCTTGAAAAAGGTTCTCGGAAAGGCGAATGTCACTTTAGAAGAGCTCCAAACAATTTCCTCCGAAACGGAAGCAATCCTGACCAATGACCGCCCGTTAACCCACGTATCATCAGAACTAGACGACACAGAACCATTAACACCATCCCATCTACTGTATGGCCGGAGAATTACCACCTTACCCCACCCCCTTTACGAAGACGACGAGTTTCGTGATCCTATCTATGAATCCGAACCTAGTAACATTGATGTCCAAGCAAAATTGAGAACACACCTAATACAACACTTTTGGAAACGTTGGCGTCAAGAATATCTGACGAGCTTACGGGAATTTCATAAACCCACTGGAAACAATTCAACCGAGATACGTGTTGGTGATGTCGTTCAAGTACACGATGACACGAAACGTGTTAACTGGAGACTTGCTGTTGTACAAAGTTTAATCAAAGGAAAAGACGGACTAGTACGGGCAGCAAATATCAAAACAAGTACTGGACATACGAACAGACCAGTAACTAAACTTTACCCACTCGAAGTTAGATCCACAACAACAGAGAACCCAAAGATCACCATTGACGAAAACCTAGACGCAAAGAATCCCTCAACAAATCCTCACCCAGCTGACGTCATAGATCAAACGTCAAGCAGACCTGTTCGAGCAAAAGCACGATTGGCAAAGGAGAAATTGAAACAGTGGGCATCCATACTCTCGCGCCCCCCGGAGGATGTCGAGAATTGACAGTACTTTGAACATTATAGATATCTTGCACGCATTCTAATATAAACAGTTCATTATTAATATCTTATATCGAACACGGTTAGTTAATTGAACTAGGATAGAATTACACTTGCACTAGGATAACTGGGACATTCAGGATAATTTTGATAATCACCTTTTTTGTTGTATATAGTTTTCGCACTGGCTTTTTGAGCTTGTGTTAGTGTAAATAATACATATTCAAACTATGGTGTAGATCGTCCTTGATTCTATCGAAAGAACCTACGCTACATTAGATCTCGTTATCGTCGTAGACAAGTTAACACAACGCAAGACAACACTATAGCTTATTTCGAGTGACGAACGAGACAATTACATACGATGGATATTTTGAATATAAATTAGATAGAGCACACAAAATATGCGTACAGTCGTTTAGTTTTGATCGAGTACACCTAATATGGGTACAGCCGTTTAAGTTTCGATCGAGTACGCTCAGAAATCGTACAGCCGTTTGCCCGTTTACTTTTGATCGAGTCTGCTTAGAAAGCGTACAGCCGTTTACTTTTGATCGAGTAAGGCGTAAAAGGTCGTAAAAAGCATACATTCACAAATACTTGATCGAGTACGCATATTAAAATCCATAGCTATTTGTATAAAGATTAAAGAGTACTGAGTAAGTACAGTCCTCAGAGTAAACAAAGTAATAGCACGAGAGCAGGAAGTCGAATGAGCCATTGAACGCCAGCACGAAGAGCAGGAAGTCGAATAATCCATTGAATGCCAAATAAGATAATCACAAATAATCTCATGCGTCCACGATTTGTTTCGATTGGCCAGAATTAAGAGTGGCCGCGTGGGAGAATAAGTCTTGCGCAAAAAAAACAGACCGAAACTATAACTCGAGCTGAGCTTGAGTAAAAAGTTAAAATGAGCAAGTATAACCCTAGGATGGTAGTAATATATTATGGATTGAAAACCGAAATATCTACTTTATTTCCGCCATTAATGGCCGCCAAGCAGGTTTGGGCGCACAATGCATTGTGGTTGACAATGACTCTTTAATAAATGTGTAAAATTTAACTCGAAATTTCCATGTAGAAAACCTTTGAGCAATTAGTTCTAATGAGTGAGATATCTAGAATCCTGATTTATAATAGCAAGTCCCATTCAGTTGCATCCAAATAGAACCAGGGATGGATTTACTGGGGGGGGGTGCACCCCTAGCCCTGGCCAGAGGAGTGTGTGCTATTTTTTATGATAATATATTACAGATAAAATGAGATACGGTAATTTGAGTAATAACATGATGATAAGAGAACTGTGAACAACAATTATAATTCAAATACAGTAGGCAAGCAAGACTTTTCAGTAGTCAAGCAAGTTGATGGGCGGCACCAGAGCTTGCAGAGCACCCCTCCTCCTACCAGATCATGTTGGATCCATCCCTGAATTCTAGAACTGCCCTATTCAGTTATATTTAGGGACAATTTCAGCCGTCAAAATAATGTATTTATGAATCTTTTGCGGCCTAAGGATGGATCGATGGCCTTTACAGTCGTAACAATGGGAGTGTTCCTAAAATATTCTACCAATTCGTTTGCTCACACGAATCAATTTATTTGACGAGTTCTTTACCTCTTTGAAAACTTGATAACTTCCCGTGTAATTGATAAACTCTTGTATAATGCACCAATCAGAGACAGAGACAGGAAGTGACCAGAAATGATCAAATACAGGAAGTTGCGAGTAATTGGTCAAAAGTTTCAAATGAATAATTGGTTC